ACCCGGTGCCTTCATGTCTTACATGTCTTACAGTCTGTCCGGCAGTGCCAGAAGGTACTTATAGAATTAAAATGGGAAAACTTTAAAGTGTTTTCACAGATGCAACAAGTGTTCTTACCTGACAGGTGTGCTGTTGCCCCCCCCCTGGCTCTCCTCTCTTGCGTCCTGCTGTCTGTGAACCTGCCGGACACGACTGAACACTGACGGGCTGCAGGAACACCAAACAGCAGGGTTACACTCTTATTCTTACAACCAGCACCAACAACTGCTCGCAAAGCGGGATCATGACTCACTGATGAAACGGTGTAAACTCTGATAAGCTGATCAAATGTTTCTTCTAATTGTCTTTATTTTGTATTGTTTTAATTTTTTTATTATTTATGTACTTTTACCAAGTTGGTCCTCCATTGTACACGTTGCATGCTATTTATAGATATTCAGTACCCTATTTGACTTTTTGGAAATCAGGTATGCAGCGTGAGCGCATGAACCATTTGTGCTAAGGTCTTTTAACCTCTGACATGAAATGAAGATTGAGTTATGTTTCAATTGTTAAAGCACGTTGAGCAGTGTATAAATAAAGCTTTATTATTAACATTATTACATTTCTGCCAACAGATTTTTATAACTGCAATAGCATTACAGTAAGCTGTAGTCGGACAAATAATCTTCATGTTGATGACACATGGGCTCTAAACATTTCGTTGCCTCCCTCCACCAGGGCACCATAAATGATCATCCATAAATCTAAATCAGTTTACCACACAGTCGAATATATTTGTAAAAATCTCAACACATTGGTTCCATTGTGAATGAAGTGCCCTTGTGAAGGCTGAAGAATGTCCTTCAGCTGCTTTTTACTCCCAAGACTCAAATAACAGATTAGTGCTAGGTTACCTGGTAACAGCCTTGGCAACAGTGGTAACCTTGACGACAGGTCCATCCTCCTCTGATAGGGCGGGCTCTGGAGGATAGAAAAACACAAATGTATTACTACGAGGTCACATGTGGCAGGATGGAGTATAAAAGCGTGAGGGAGGTTGAGCTCTTACTCTGCAGGCTGAAGCGCTCCGAGCTGCCCTCCTCCACCGGGGTCACCAGCTTCATCCTCAAACTCAGTTTCCCGTCTCCCTTTTCCATCGTGTCATCCCCGCTCTCGCCCGAAACAATGTCACTGGCTGCCATCGCCCCGTCTGCAGAGACATCCCCCACCGCGCCTGACTTTTGAGAAAAGGAAGTGATCTCTGGAGAAAAGGAGAACATAAAGCTCTGCATCTGATCTTGTTACACTACTGGACATTTAGTAAACAAGTTGTTGAGCAGCTCCTGTTGACTGAAACAAGAACTCACCAATGGGAGTGCTGTGTCTCAGCGTCTGCTTCAGCTGGCCGATCAGAGGAGGCGTGGCACCGACAACAGGACCAATCAGCTCGCCTTCTTTAGGGAGAGTGAAATGGAAGGACATTTCTGTCGTAGGAAAATAGAATTTGAATCAGTTTACGTTTTTTCAGTTCGTTTCTATCAGTAATAATAATATGATACTGGCTGAGATCTGGGAATTTGGTGATAACACTAAAGTCAGCAACGTGTAGTCAGACATTACAGATTTTTTTATTAAATCCCAAAACAGAATGCATTTTATAGAGAAAACAATTGTGACCAATAAAAGTTTAAACCCAATTTGGCCTATTTTATTTTCCTGCGCAAGGAAGGAGATTGACCTAGAGATAAAGTGGTATAGACTAACTGCAAACACAGAACAGAACAATAGTTGGATAAAACAGATTTTTAGACATCAAGGACATTGATTCTGTTGTCCAGTTGCATCCGAGTTGACTACAGGAATTAGATATATAAACCATCCACTACGCTAACATGCTAACATACAGTATATCTTTGCCCAGCTTACCTCCAGAGCTGTCACTCAGGCTCTTGTCTTTGTGCCCCTCTGCTTCAAGTCCCGCCCCAGTCTGGGAGAGCCTATCAGGAGCCGGGTGCAGCTTCCTCCCCTGAGTCTGGGACTCATGGCCGTTGGTTGAGCAGGACACTTTGCCTCTGGTTGGCTGGGAGCTGTTGGTCTTTGCCTGAAGAGGCTGGGAGTCTCTCTCGCTGTCTGTGACCACGGTGATGCTGTCCTCTCCTCTGTTCTCACTCTCCTCCTCCATGGGCTCAGGAGACAGCAGCTGACTCTGAGAGAGAGCCAGACCTAGTCCAGAGGCCCCGCCTCCCAATGTGCTCTCTCCTTCCCCCTCCATCACCTCCTCTTCTTCTTCCCACTTATTACTCTCCCCCATCACGTCTTTGACTGTTTGACTGTTGCCAGCTGCTACCGACTGCTGTGACAATGATTTTAAAGACTGACTGTTTGCTTTTGCTCCTGCCTTTCTCGAGTCCACAGAACCCTTCACTACATCCACAGTCTGAGAGATCATAGAATGTGAGGGCAAACTGCAGGGTGTAGGGTCTGCTGCGGGGGGAGTCTCCTGCACGCAGCTGTTAACCGTCACATCAGAGAGATCGACCTTGGGTTGTGAGCAGGACACCACGTCACTCTTACTGTCTTTTACATTCACATTTTGTACATTCAAAGAAGTCGCTGTCTTTTTGTGCACTTCAGACTTTTGCAACTGACATGCTGCTCGATGCTTTGGTGATTCGGCAGAGGGGGAAGCTTTGGAGCTGGTGGCAGTTTGTGACTGTGAAGACATACCGTTACTCTCTCTCCTCTGTTGTGAGTCGCTGTCGCCGGGCGGCTCCTTCAGCTCCTCGATCTGTGTTGCCTGGCTGTCCTCCTCTATAGGTTCTGAGGTCTTCTGAGCCTGGCTACTGATCTGTGTGTTCACAGAGAGCTGCAAAGGCAACGTGAAAGGAGCTGACTCCAGGGGCTGAGACTGCGTCTGGCGAGGCAACGAGGCTTTCTTCTTATCTGACTGCTGTTGTGACTGGCTCTGTGTAGGGACAAATACGTCCTGAAAATACAAATAAACACATTGAATATCAAGAAATAAAGATTATAAATAAACCTGCTGATTATTCAAAACGCTTCAGAAATATTAGGAAATAGTGAAATATGTGCAAAAATCTTAAGATATTGCAATATGAACTGATCTTATTTTAATGAAGCAGTAAACTGGTTCAAATGAATACAATAAGTACATACGTGAGAAAACTCTGGCTGGGACGGTAAAGAGAGAGTGCGCTCTAACACAAAACCAGGGGAATTCTGGGAGACAGGAGTAGAGGCCGACGGGTGTGGCTTAGAAGCGGCCTCTGTTTCCATTGGCTCGGCTCGGTCTTCGGGGGGCAGTGAAGTGTCCATCGGCTCATCAGCTGCTGACAAAGGGAATACATTGAGGCTCTATACCAGGGGTCAGCAACCCCTGGCACGCGTGCCAGCATTGGCACGCAGCACCGTAACCAGTGGCACACTAGGAATAAGTGGAATAAGTGTGCAACATATTTAAATTGTATTTTCGGATCCTGAACGAGAAAGCCGTCAGAGCGCGTCTCCCCGTTACCTGCAGAAGGAAGCCAAGCACGCAACGCAGCCCCGCTCTCTTTAACTCCAGGCGACTTTCTGCCGCTTTCCTCCGTGGTGCAGTGCTGATTGTTTCACCACGGAGGAAAGCACTTCACTAATTGCAGTACCCATAAGGAGCTGTACAAATGCCGCAGTTTTTGCGTGGCTGTGTATTTAGTTGAAAGCCCAGTGGCGATCTGCTGATCTCTCATCGAAATAATATGCTACAAAGGGGCGGACTGGCCATCTGTGTGTTGAACTTTCCTGTCGGCTCCCAGACCGTAGTCGAGGAGGGCAGCAGCAACAAGCTTCAGGTTCAATAACCCACTTTAGAGAGAGGCGAGCTCTTCTTGGAGGCCGTTGCATT